CAAGTGTGCAGTTACTAGAAATCAGTTTAAAGTACAGACCAAGAATATAATTACATTTGCAAGTTAACAAATTCAACAAAAATACAATAAAAGCACATCCACAAACAGAGCAGAGTACAGTTTACAGTAGATTAACCATATTCAACATTTCCACACAGGAGTTTAGTCTTTTCACTGTAACCTTCCATAGCTTCTGCAATGTCCCCATTTTTTATAAATTCCAAAAACAGTTTCTCAAGAGCCAGACTCAAAGTTAAATTGTTTAGCCAGTGGCCCAGGGAGGGGCAACCAACATGTTTCCAGCACAAAGCGATTGAGCGCCTGGCTTGTAGAAGGCAAAGGTTAACTATGTTTCTTTCCGTAACCGATAGCGAACAGTCTTCTGGATAAATGCTTAAAATAAAAGGGCTTAGATTTGATTATTATTCACTTTTATAAGTTGTTACCTGAAAGTTGCCAATGATGGAGATGCCTACAGAGGAGATGAATCCCAGAATAATGGCGGGCGGCTATGTTGGCCTTTCCATGATTACCAAAGTCCTTCACCTGCTGGAAACGGATGAGGACGATCCACAGGGCTGAGAGAGAGAGGAGAGCAGAAGATGATGAAGAGGATCAGGTGACATATTGGTTCAAGAAAAACATTGTCAACAAACAGTACAACCACTGGTTTACATGTTGGGATAACAAAAGAACCATTACCTCGAAAACCAAATAAAATAACAATTTAAACATTAAAATCACATCTACTGCAGGGTCAAGAAGACTAAAGTATGATGAACAGAAATCTAGCAAATAATCAGTATTAAATAATAGGGAAAGCTCACTTTATACAATCCAAATAAAGTACACAATAAAGGAAGAAAAGATAAATAGCAGCATTAAAGCTTCTGCTAGTCCAGCAATGACATCATTAAATCTATAATTACCTAAAACAGAGCAGATGTTGCACATCTGGGAGAAGAGACAGCTCTGAGGTTTGTACGATCCACACTCACTGACAGGATGTGAGAGAAAAGAAGCATTATTATTAACATTAACTCCTACATTAGGATTCAGGATTTACCTTAATTACTTTTACCGACCTGATGTAAGGGAATCCTTCTGTGAGGTTGACTGATCCATTTGATACAGAAACAGCAAACCTAGAGGGAACAAACACACATATTGGGTGTTAGAGAGGAGCATACATTTGACTTCATCATTTTATTTTTTATTTTGCTTGGATGGGAAAAAAAATAGACTTTGTATTTAGTTATTGGACTTTTAAGCAAGAAACAGACCAATGATGGATCTACTGACAAAATCTGTGAGCTTTAGATTATTGTATGTGATATTATTTGTATAAATAATGTTACCAAATGTTATCAAAGTTTAAAAATGTGGAACATTGGTCTTCAACACAGGGCCCATAACCCCCAAGAATGTCCTTGGAGTTACTGCCAGGGGGCCACACCATTATTGTCCGTCTTAAAATTAAAATATGTCTGACACACATTACAGTAACATGAATTCAAAATAGTATCACCACAACCACCGTCAATGAGCATAAAGTCATAAATGTGTGAAAATAAATAGAAGGCCAATGGATACAGTCGAATCGAGATAGATGTGGAAACACACACACACACACACACACACACACACTATTTCCATATTGTGTCTGCTGTAACACCTGTTCAGATTTACTAGTGATCAAGTGAGCAGCTATGTCTTAAAGTGAGCTATAAGTAATCTATAAATGGTAAAACTGCTAAAAACTAAATAATGAATACAATTACTTACCTTAGTTATAGTGCCAATGGAAACATGTTAAAACAGCTCAACAATGATAGATACCGTTGACATAATAAGCTTAAAGTAATGTTGAAACACAGTATACTGTAATAAAATGGACAGACTTTACATTCTAGCTAAAAGTAATGGCAATTTTATTTGAGTTCTCTAGAAAACAACACTTCCTCTGTAGATCAGTTTGGATGAATGAGATATGATTATTAAGGAAAACCTCAACGACAACAGCACTTATTAAATAAGGAAGCTGAATACTCACACAGTCCAGATGCCCAGAGTGCCAAAGACAGCCTGGCAGATGGGGAGCAACGCCCACAGCCACATGTTGGTGCAGATGGGGGGGAAACACACACACCTACACACACCTCTGCCTTACAAACACAGGAGGTCACAGGTGAAGCAAAACACACATGGAGGATTTCAACTCAGGGAAGCGACAAACCTCACAAATAAAATACTTGTTCTTGTGTAGAGAAGCTGTGTGAAGGTGCAGCTCTCTGTTGAATCCTCACTCAGAGCTTCATTCCATCATTGCCATTTTTACCATAATGACACTAACAGATGATACACACTGCTGTCCAGATGTTTCACACACACACAGTGAATAAGCCATATAACATCACTAGGATCACGATGCTTACCTATGTGGTTATTTCAAGAGTTAGCTGCAATAAAATGGTCACAGCTAACCAAAATGTTGAGATGTTTCACTAAAACCTCCCCTTTATTCCCTGCATTGCACTACACAGTTAGTTACGGTAAGTTGTTTAGGGGCTGGGTTGAACTTTGAGCCTTTTAGATTTACAACCTCTTGAACTAGTTCCTCCCAGGTCTGACAGTGGATTTCCTCGGTTTCAGTTTACGTTTCCGGTAACTGAAAGCAAACCACAAAGTCTAAACACTAAACCACACAGTACAGAGCAAAGAGTGAATGAAGCGCGTCCTCAGCAGCCTGCAGTCTCAGGGGGATCTTTATGAATGTTAAGTAAGGAAGCAACGGATTAATAATCCACTAAAGTATTTACATTTATTTTCATGAAGCGGGAACAAATATGACCATTGGTACCCCGTCAATAAAGATAAAATGAAGTCCTAAACATAATTTATGAGCACGTTAATCACTGTTAGTTATTTTTTTAAATAAAAGCATATGGTTTTCACATTCTAGTCCATTTTTATTTAAAAACCGCAGGCAGAAATGAAAACAGTGTGACAGAAATGTATTGTATTTTTTATTTGAGATTCAGCGTTCACCACCAACATGATGAGGACTTGTCTTTTGGTGTGTGTGTGTGTGTGTGTGTGCGTGTGTGTATGTGTGTGCGTGCGTGTGTATGTGTGCACATCAGAGCTCAAGCTCAATTTTGACATCCATTTTAGCCTTAAAAGGCTCCAGCAGGGGGCGCACTTCTTCAGACAGGAACCTGGTCACCTGAAAACAGGGAAGACATAAAGAAAGGAATAGATTATTTTACCAAACCATTGTCATATATTTTGTTAATGTTGAGCCTCAAACGGCTTCTGTGAAATATCTAGACAAGATAACTGATTCACTCAAGGTTTATTGTCATCACAAAACTAGGGTGTAATTATGTAATGTATGAACTTAGATCGCAGGTTCCTCAACAGATAGACAAGATAACTGTCGTCTACTTTTGGTATTTCTCTTAATAAAAACTGACTTATCCTATTTCTTGGAAAAACAGAGAAATAAGAAGAAGAAATAAAATAAAAATGTATTCCTGGTAAAAAGAAAAACATTGAAATAGTTAAATGAATTACCAGGAATCAAGTTACAAGATGATAATGTCATATCCTTTAATGGAAGGATCTTTTAAACTAAATAACGAACGGAAAACTCTTGATTTTTGGATTTGGATTTTTCATAGGTTTGTTTTGACCGCCCTGTAACCTGTTCTTAAAATCAAATAACATTAATAATAATAAATGTATTTTGTAAGCGCTTTTACAGGTGATCAAAGTCGCTTTACAGAGGTAGTAAAAAAGGACAACAAATAAAAATAATAAAAATCATATTAAAAGCCAACAAAATAACAATCACATTAAAAGCCAGTTTGAAGAGGTGAGTTTTTGTAAGTTTTTCGAAGGTGGTGAGGTCATTAATACAGAGATATTCAACATAACCTGAGAGCTGTTAAATAAAAACAGGGGGGGGCTGTCAGTGTTCTACCTGCTGGGGGGCGCGTCCGATGAAGGTCTTGGGGTCCAGGACTGAGTCCAGGTGCCCGAGGATGGGGGCGAAGTAAGGGTCTCTCTGGACTCTGGCCAGCAGGTCGTTGTCCCCCCCCTCCTGTTTGACCACAGCCGCCGCCTCCTGGGACAGAACACGGATCTTCTCGTGGCAATCCTGAAGGAGGACAGAGTTTTATTTTAAGTTTAGTAACGTCAACTTTTGTCCAAACATATCCAATCCATCTGTTGAACCTTTTGCCTTGTATTAAAAGTGAAAAACATAAAAACTGGTAGAGATGACCTGGACTGAAATTGGTCAAAATTGGTCAACACAATTAACACAGGCCGTAAGACTTTTAAACACCTGAGCTTTTGAAAGAACATCCATAACATTCATCTGTCTGCAACTTATATCAATATTCCAATTAGTTGTATATTGACTATTCTGCACTATTTCTATTCTACTCAATTTTATTTTATTTACTTGCACTATCACCGGTGTTATTGTTGTTGCACTGTTGGAGGAGCCTGTGACCTAAGCTTTTAATTGTCATAACTACGCTGTAGCTATGTACACATAACAATGAAAGCCTTGAACTTAGTGAAAGTGTAAACTAATATGAATATATACTTTATGGCAGAACATGAATGAAGTGCAGCACCTGTCTGTTTCCTCCGGCCTTCACCATGGCCATGATGATGTTCTCTGTGGCCATGAAGGGCAGCTCGTGGCGGATGTGCCTCTCGATGACTTTGGGGTAGACCACCAGCCCCTCTGTGATGTTCTGCAGAGTGCTGAGGATGATGTCGGCCGTCAGGAAGGACTCGGGCAGGGAGATCCTCCTGCACATGAGCAAGAAGGAAACTGTTAGGAAAATATCACTCGTCACCGGCTTGAGCTTCAATATCAGGAGACATGTATTCATGATNTGTATCTGTGATCCTCTCAAGAATGGAAGTAGTCATCACATACAGAGACAACTAGTTCCTGAACAGTGTCCTTCACATGCTGATATCCAGGAGAGGGAGTTTCACAGTCACAAGATGGAGGAATACCGGTTCAAAGCAGTATTCAATGTTTACTTCAGATTAGCTCCACGTCAGAAATGATCATGCTTGTCATATGTCTCTCTCCATAGAGGCTGAATCATCATGTTAATCACATAGCTATCATATGCCTCAAACAGTCCTGATGCTCTTCTAGGTAAAATCTTCGATAAATAAAATGCAATTACGTAACATATATACCGTAATTTTCGGACTATAAGCCGCGCCTTTTTCCCTATTTTTCGACGCTGCGGTTTATAAAACGGTGCGGCTAATCTATGGATTTTTACAGCTAACGGCCAACACCTTTAACTCTATGGGCTCTATGGCCGGTCCGCGGACCCCCACCTTTAAGCGGCGGGTTCCAGCAGNGTCATGTTGATAAAGGCTGTACTGATACTGGCATAGAGTGGTGCAGGAACGAGTCCTAAAACCCGGAAGTGAGTTAGCATTTTACCACTACTGGTTCCCTTGTCAGAGTCAACGGGTTTTTTGAACATATTTTTGGAAAATAGCTGGAAATAAGGTCTGTGGTTGAGACACATTGAAGAGACGGGTCACGTTTTGTTCTACGACATTAAATCCATCAGCAGTGACCCCGCTGGTGATTTCTGAAGAGTTTACGTGTCTGAAAAACGATGGTTGTTACCAAGTGGCTGAATAGGACTACAGAAGTTGTGGAGGTCGTTGTACGTCATTACACCGAACACGTAAACACTCTAAGTTTGTTGGCCCTGTTCTGCTTGAAAGCAAGTACCTGCCTCCTGCAAACTGTTAAAACAAACGCTTCAACTTTTTGAATATGGATCTTAAGTTGTTGTGACGTTGAAGTCGTGCTGCTGTACTCGGCTGTAGTTCGTTTATATAGCCTAACGTTAGCATTTTGCTTCTGTCGACTAGATTTAGGATTAGAAAATTATAAAAGTAGGGTAGACATATTATCGTGCATTTATCAAACAGGTTCCTTTTCCACAGACCTTATTTTTTACAATATTCCAAAATCCAAAGGAGAAATCTCGTTGCTTTTTTGTCGAGGGAACCCGGGCGCAGCTTACTTCCGGGTCGGCCTACAAAGACATGTCATCCCTGCACCACTCTATTACAGGATAATAGAAGATAAGAAGTATTTCATTGATCGCAATTTGGGAAATGTTTGCTTTGCAGCAGCATAAAAAGATAAGGCATTGTACATTAGAGAACTTAAAAGACTAGAAATAAATATTCCAAAATGCAAACATCTCAAGTAGAATGTGTGAAATATGTGCGTGAATGTACCAATCTGCTCTTCCTCAAACGGCTCCTCGATCTCCTTCAGGTTGGCGAGCAGGCGGATGTCCGTACAGATCTGCAGAGGACAGAGGGATTAGAATTAAGCATCAATTGAAAGTTGTCTGGTACAAAATACATTTCCTTCAGACTCCACTAGATGGCGATGTTTCTCCATGCGTCTCCTCCTCCTGCAGCTCACCTTGTGCACAGAGGCTCCCATGCTGGCCAGGCTGGAGACACAGTCCACGTCCACCTTCCGGCTGTACGTCTGTCCGGTCACCAGGTAGGCTCTGTGGGCGAGGGGAACAACATCAACGAGGGTAACAGCAGAGCAAGTCTCTATACACCACCCTTATTGTGGCCCTGGCATTTAACGCTTTAGGTAAGGCAGGTTTATTGATATAGCACCTTTCAACACAAGGCAATTCAAAGTGCTTTACAAAAATGAAAGACATTAAGAAAATGGCATTTAAAAACAGTCATTAAAAAGCAAAGATAATCAAATAAACATTAAAAGACAAAATACATGAATAAAAGTTACAGTGCAGTTTAAGATAAGATGTGAATAGTTCAAATAGTTCAAAAAGAAAAGTCTTCAGCCTGGATTTCAAAGCAGTCAGAGTTGCAGCGGACCGGGAGGTTTCTGGGAGTTTGTTCCAGATACTTGGAGCATAGTAACACAACACAAGCTTGTCTGTTTGTCCTGTGGTACACATCACATTTCCTCCAGTGATTCTACTGAATATTAGGGGCAGGGATCGAAGACGTTTCCACAGAACTTACTTTTTGAAGCCAGCCATCTCTGTCACCATTCTGTCAAGATCTTCCACCTGATGAAGGGAAATAATCAAACGTGAAAATTGTCAAACTTGGAAACTTTGATTTGTATATAAATATCTCTTCCTATGTTACTTTGTCACATAGCATTATGGATTATTGGTTCACAGTCGATGCACGTGAGAAAAAAAACTTCAAGAATTCAAAATAAACCGGGGGGAGAATGTACCAGCGTCCTGTGGATTGTGTGTAGAAGTGTCCTCATGGTATTAAGTGCTCCAGAGAGTGTTTATAAGTGTTTCTCTTCAGTCCTTCAGTGTGCCATATACCTTCTTTATGCCACTTACCCAATTATGTTTAACTTTACAGATGTCTAATCGAGTTCAAAATGAAGATTTTCAAGATCGGTGTGAACCAAGCAAGGCCTCGCAGATGAACGTTTTTTAACCACAATTTTCATAGCAGTGTAAATCAGGCTGGCGATCTGTGATTTGAGCGAGGTGTGAAGTTACCATAACAGTCTGTGATACCATATATTAGGATGCTCTCTAACACCACATGTAAAACAGAATAATATGAACTTAGTGTGTTTTCACCTTGTCATGTTCCCCCTCAAAGAGCTGCAGGAAGCTGGCCTGGGTGCCGGTGGTGCCCTTCACGCCTCTGAAGCGCAGATCATCCCGAGCTCTCTGCAGGTTCCTCATGTCCATCGCCAGGTCCTGAAGCCAGAGACACGCTCGCTTCCCCACCGTGGTCAACTGGGCCGGCCTGTGGGCAGAGCAGGGTTAATACAATACAATAATTAACAATAATGTTAAATAACTAACAAAACACAAAATGATGGGATCCCTTCAACATTTCAAATAACTAGTCCGAGAGTCCGATACACCCTCTTGATTATCTACAGTTAACACAACACTAAAGCATTCATTTTCAGACCAATTCAATCAAATATACACAACAATTGTATGCCTTATTTTAAACATAAAAATACTTTCCAATCAGTTAAAAACCAAAGAAAAGTAGCTATCCCCCAATAGGTTACAACACACTTCAGATCCCGTCAATGTCAAATTAAAATTCCGGTAAAAAAGGAGCCCCAAACAAACACAATGATTTGAATGGTAATGACAGGAAGTGTTTTAAATGATGGTGAGATGCAGCTGTATTCAGACTCACTGGTAGTGTGTGAAGCCGAGCGTGGGGAGGTCGGCGTATTTCTCCGCAAAGTTTGACAGTCTGTCAATGACTCTGGCCAGCTGTAGCAGAGAAGGGGATTTAGAGCATGGTTATTGCATAATACACTCTATATAACCTTGCATGTTTAGCTTCTTTATGAATGTATGTGTAGTGTGAGAAAGAACGACTGCAGTGATTATTTCTACTTTGTTGACTTGTTAGTGAACAGCTGAGACCTGCAAAGACAGATGTAACAACGATGCGTGTTCCGGGCGAACAGCTGAGCCTCACCTTAGGCAAGAGGATGTCGAATCCGTCACGCAGCATAATCAGATCCTGAGGGGGAGAAACAAAAACACTTTAAAGGAAAGCACTACAGTACACGCATAATCCTAATGCAATATTATGTAATGCGGATGGAATTTGTTGGAGATAGTGACCCTTTAAAGATGTTTGTGTTATTACAAGACCGGTGGGAGAGATAATATGAGATTTTTCTTTTTTTACTAATTTTTTTATTTCAGCTTGAGCAACTTAAAGAGGCCCTATTGTGCTGTTTTGGGTTTTCCCTCTCCTGTAGGGTGTTATAAAGGTTTTGGTGCATGTAAATGGTCTGCAAAGGCTAAAATCCCAAAGTTACCCCCCCCCCTGCCTTAACCGCCTCTATTGGACTCCTTTGTTTACTTCCATAACTCATATATCCAGTCTCTGATTGTGTTACGTTATTATGAGAGTGCTCTCATACTTGTTTGATTCGGAAATTGTATATACAGTGGGGCAAAAAAGTATTTAGTCAGCCACCAATTGTGCAAGTTATCCCACTTAAAAAGATGAGAGAGGCCTGTAATTTTCATCCTAGGTATACCTCAACTATCAGAGACAAAATGAGAAAAAAAAAAATCCAGAAAATCACATTGTCTGATTTTTAAAGAATTTATTTACAAATTATGATGGAAAATAAGTATTTGGTCAATAACAAAAGTTCATCTCAATACTTTGTTATATACCCTTTGTTGGCAATGACAGAGGTCAAACGTTTTCTGTTTGTCTTCACAAGGTTTTCACACACTGTTGCTGGTATTTTGGCCCATTCCTCCATG